CCCAAATACAGAACAGAAATATTTATTGAACACATCTGTTCTTTCTCCATTGTTATTGATATTTCTACCATTTCCAACTAAGCATGGACCGTTATCATTGTCAGGATTCTTTTGTTTCTTAATATATATTAAAAACTCCTTCTTGTTGCCATAGATTTCTTATTGTGTCCCTTTGCTTCCCTTATCAATTTTCCACAAACTAGAACAATCAAACAGAGATGAAGGCCTCTCCACACAGCACACAGACCCCTCTCTGCAGTAGAGGCCCATAGCTCAGTGGTGGGGCACTGGGGTCAGCACTAACTCAGACAGAAAAGCATACTGTATTGAGTTTTCCCAACAGGCTCTCTGCAGCATCAACTGTGCAATGGAGGGTGATAGTTACCTGAGCACACAACACCAGCAACTTCTCCATGGGTACAGTTATTATCTCCCCAAGGCCGAGCTCTGCAATCGGAGAGGGCAACTTCTGTTCCTGTGCAGTTGACGTCATCCAGCCAGATACGGTCAGATCCTTGCCCAAATCGAGCCCCCCATGGGGCTGATAACGCCGTCCCACAGCCCAGCTGCCTGCATACGACTCCAGCATCAGTTATGTCCCAGCCGTCATCACACACAGTTCCCCACTGCTGGTTGTGAAGCACCTCGACCCTCCCAGCGCAGTGACTCGGGCCGTTCACCAGTCGGAGCTGAGCCACTTCTGAGATGCCAGAGTCTGCAAACACCCCAAGGGAATAAACACTCAGGGACGTTCCTGTTAATCTGATCACTAGTGATGCTGGGGGACAACTCTATACAGCCTCTGCAAAGCCTGTTAGGGGTTCACTCCCTGTCAATTAATCGCAGTTAACTCATGCGATTAACTCAAAAAATTAACCGTGATTAAAAAAATTAATCAGGCTTAATCGCAATTTTAATGGCACTGTTAAACAATAGAATACCAATTAAAATTTATTAAATATTTAACGTTTTTCTATGGTTTCAAATATTTTGATTTCAGTTACAACACAGAATACAATGTGTACAGTTCTCACTTTATATTATTACAGTTAAAGTTCTTTTATCCGGCATGTTGGAGGAATGGGGGGTGCCGGTAAATGAAAACTGCCAGGTACCTAAGAGGGAGGGAGTTTGGGTGTCGGAGTGGATGCGTGGCTGGGGTTGGGGTGCGGGAGGGGATGTGGAGTACAGGCTCTGGGAGGAAGTTTGGGTATGGGGGGGCTCGGGGCAGGCAGCTGGGGTGCGGAATGGGGTGCGGGGTGCCAGATCCAGGGGCTACTTACCTCAGGCGGCTTCCAGCAAGCAACAACTTGGCCCAACTGCTCCTAGGTGGAGGCACGGCAGGCGGCTTGGCACACTCCCTCCATCCACAGGCGCCACCCCCATAGCTCCTATTGGCTGTGGTTGCCAGCCAATGGGAGCTGTGCAGCCAGTCGGTGGGAGGGCAGAATGCAGAGCTGCCTGATGCGCCTCTGGTTAGGAGTAGCCAATCCTGGGACAATTCGCCACTTCTGGGGAGCAATGCGAAGTGAGCAGCCCCCGGATCTTACACCCCGCACCCTTCCCACATAATAAGCCCCCTCCCACACCCAAAGTCCCTCCCAGAGTCGCGCTCCACACCCCCTCCTGCACCCCAACACCCTGCCAGCCCCGCACCAACCGGACTATAAACCAGCATTTCAATGAAGATCAGAAATGCCAATTTATAGAGCTTTCTGGTTGGTGAAGAGCTGGAAAAAACAGCTTTTTTTGGATTAGAAATATTTGCACTGTAAAAACGGTAAAAGAAATAATATTTTGCAATTCACCTCATACAAGTACTGTGGTGCAATCTCTTTATTGTGAAAGTGCAACTTACAAATGTAGATTTTTTTTGTTACATAACTGCACTCAGGAAAAAAAAAAAGGAAAACTTAGAGACTACACGTCCTCTCAGTCTTACTTCTTGTTCAGCCAATCGATCAGACAAACAAGTTATTTTACATTTACGGGAGATAATGCTGCCTGCTTCTTATTTGCAGTGTCACCAGAAAGTGAGAAGAGGCGTTCACATGGCACTTTTGTAGGTTGCATTGCAAGGTATTTACGTGTCAGATATGCGAAACATTCACATGCCCCCTCATGCTTCAGCCACCATTCCAGACGACATACTACCATGCTGATGATGCTCGTTAAAAGCAATGTGTTAATTTAATTTGTGACTGAAATCCTTGGGGGAGAATAGTGTGTCTCCTCCTATGTATTTTACCTGCATTCTGCCATATCTTCCATGTTACAGTAGTCTCAGATGATGACAGTATATGTTGTGCATTTGAAGAACACTTTCACTACAGATTTGACAAAACACAAAGAAGGTATATGTGATGCTCTGTACCTCACGGGATCACCCAGCAGCCCATATTCATCCTTATAAAATGCTTGTGTGGTATCCAATGCAAAGTTTGTCATATTGGGTGTCTTCGGAAGGCTCATGATGCATGTTGTTATAGTGATGTTATAGTAATTTTTCTTGCAGTAATGTTATAGTAATGTTCTAGGATATAATTTCATGCATATAGTTATGAGGCTGAAAATGTATCCTCATGGCTTAAAATATACCAGGAAAAAACTCTCTAAGAGCAGAGGGGCAGTTCACACCTCATTGAGGCATGTATGGGACAAACCCAGCCAAGCCTCACAGGAACAAAGGATACCGGCCTAGGCAGCACCAAAAGGATCTGTTGCACTCTCGAGTGAGTCACCCCCCCTTCCTTTGTCAGTTTGGGATTGCGATGAGGTAATGCTCACCTGACTCTGAAGGGGGGGGCAAAGCAAAGAGGGAAGAAAGAACATCATAAAAGGGAGAAATGTTTGCCATACTCTTCCTCTCTCTTCCACCTACAACTACAGACACCACACCAAGCGACTGAAGCACTGATCAAAGGGGAAAGCCTGGCTGAAGAGTAACCACTAGCCGGTGTTAAGAAGCATCTAAGTTTGTAAGGGCACTGAAAGTGTTAAGATCAGCTTAGAATGGGTTTTTCTTTTATTTCACTTGACCAAATCTGACTTGTTATGCTTTGACTTATAATCACTTAAAATCTATCTTTATACTTAATAAATCGGTTTGTTTGTTCTACCTGAAGCAGTGTGTTTGGTTTGAAGCATGTCAGAGACTCCCCTTGGGAAAACAAGTCTGGTACATATCAATTTCTTTATTAAATTGATGAACTCATATAAGCTTGCAGCATCCAGCAGGTATAACTGGACACTGTAAGATGGAGGTTCCTAGGGTTTTGTATGGGACCAACGATATTGGCTAGTGTCATTTGGTTGCACAATCCAAAGACAAGCTTACATGTCAGAGGCTGTGGTGTGAACAGCCCAGGAGTGGGGGTTCTCACAGCAGAGCAGGGTAAGGCTACCTCCCCGAGTCAAGGATTGGAGTGACCTAGCAGATCACCGGTCCAGCTAACACCAGTGGGGAACGTCATAGTACCAATGTGAGATTTCTAAAGCTAGCTACAGCACTCGACCCAAGGTTTAAGAATCTGAAGCGCCTTTCAAAATCTGAGAGGGACGAGGTGTGGAGCAGGCTTTCAGAAGTCTTAAAACAGCAACATTCCAATGTGGAAACTACAGAACCTGAACCACCAAAAAAGAAAATCAACCTTCTGCTGGTGGCATCTGACTCAGATGATGAAAAGGAGCATTTGTTGGTCTACAGTGCTTTGGATCGTTATCGGGCAGAACTCATCATCAGCTTGGACACATGTCCTCTGGAATGATAGTCCAAGCATGAAGGGACATATGAATTTTTACCACATCTGGCACATAAAGATTTTTTTTCACCAGCTACAACAGTGCCATGTGAATGCCTGTTCTCACTTTCAGGTAACAATGTAAACAAGAAGCAAGCAGCATTATCTCCTGCAAATGTAAACAAACTTGTCTGTCTGAGCGATTGGCTGAATGAGATGTAGGACTGAGTGGACTTGTAGGATCTAATATTTTACATTGTTTTATTTTTTATTGCAGTTATTATTTGTTAACCATTCAACATTTGTAAGTTCAACTTTCCTGATAAAGAGCTGGCACTACAGTACTTGTATGAGATGAATTGAAAATACTATTTCTTTTGTTCCTTTCTTACAGTGCAAATATTTGAAATGAAAAATAAATATAAAGTGAGCACTGTACAGTTTGTATTCTGTATTGTAATTGAAATAAATATATTTGAAAATGTAGAAAACATCCCAAAAAATTGAAATAAATGGTATTCTGTTATTGTGTAAAGACGTGATTAAATGTGCAATTAATCATGATTAATTTTTTTAATAACTTGACAGCCATACTCCCCTCCACTACCATGCAGCCACCTGTGGGGTGGAACAGGGTAGATGAGAGACAAGGCACAGAAACTCATAAACTGTGAGGAAGAATCCTGTGTCCAGTCACAGCAGTGGGAGATATTCCAGGTTCAGGGTTACTTAGTTGAGATGTAAATCACCCAGAGTGACGGGGGTAGGAACCCCACACTTCATAAAAGGATCCCTGATTGGCTGCAAAATCCATTCAACCCCAAATCCCACAAATGGGATCTACGGTTACCCAGCGTCCCAATCTGCTGTAGCGGTACAGGGGGATCAGAGCGATCAGTGACAGGGAGGGTCACTCACGGAGGCACACGTACTGCTCCCTGCAGCGCAGGCCCTACTTGGTGTCCTGGGGCACTGGGGCCAGCACTGACTTCGAGGGGAGAGTGACCCCTGCTGAACCCTCATCTTGCTCCCTGCAGCACAGGCATGTAGAACTGTGTGGGGAAAATGGAGTCAGCACTAACACCATGGGAAGAACGACATTTACTGTGACCCTGAACCTGGTCCCTGCAGTACAGGCCCTTAGCACCATGCTGGGCCACTGGGTTCAGCACTGACTCAGACAGGAGAGCTGGGTCTGTGCTGAAAGCTTCCCAGCCTGATAGCTGCACCACCCACTGTCATGTGATGGATGCAAGTTACCTGAGCACACAACACCGGCAGCTTCTCCATGGGTACAGTTATTCTCTCCCCAAGACTGCGCCCGGCAATCAGAGAGGGCAGCTTCTGTCCCTGTGCAGTTGACATCATCCAGCCAGATACGGTCTGATCCTCGCCCAAATCGAGCACTTCCTGGGGTTGATAATGCCGTCCCACAGCCCAGTTGCCTGCACACGACTCCAGCATCCTGTAAGTCCCAGCTATCATCGCACACGGTTCCCCACCGATGGTTGTGAAACACCTCGACCCTCCCAGCGCAGTGACTTCTGCTGTTCACCAGTCGGAGCTGAGCCACTTCTGAGATGCCAGCGTCTGCAAACACCCAGGGGAATAAACACTCAGGGAGTTTCCTGTGCAACTGATCTCTCGTGTCGCTGGGGAAGATAGGGCCTCCTGCAGATGGATCCGACTGGTCTCTGCAGACAGCAACTGCCAGTCAAGAGGTCCCCACCACTGACCAGGCTAATCATGTGGCCAATGTTGAAGTTTGTCCACTCCCCTCCCAGCCAGCTGTCACCTAGTTAGGCTGTCACCTAATTAGGCAGATGCTGGCATAAGCATCTTGATGATTGGGAGCATGAACAGTCACCCGTGTCATTAGTTGTTGCCTTAGCCTGTCATCAGCATCCAATTTACATGTGTTGGCTCCATCACTCCCTGAAAACGTCAACCAGAGTCCATCCCCCTTAGAACTGCCTGGAGCACAGGGACGATTGGCAGGAACCTGCTGCACACCAGGCTGACAATGGTTCCGACCAGTGCAGAGGCAATGCACACTTCCTACAAGCAGATCGGCCCCCTCCTGATGCAAACACCTGCCCCTGTGGCTCCTCCTCACTAGCCATGACTGACTTGGCAACATCGTTTTGTGGCAGCCATTGCTGCGCTCGTGTCTAGTGCTGCCAGCCCAGGACCAGTCTCAGATGAATGATGGCAGAGCTGGGCTAACAGCTGTGTCCTCACAGAGGGGCAGCAACTCCGGGATGGAGAGACTGGCGTGCTGATGGATTTTCAGAAGCCCTAACTTGTATCTGCCCATTTACAACCTGGGATGCAGATCCTGGGATAGGCTTAATGTGCCCCTCACTGTACTGACCACAGGAATTGCTGCAATGCAGAAATGTGGCTTAGCCTGATCTTCTCAGTGTGCCTGTGGGACAGCAATACAGACAGTCACACGTGGTGGAGGAGAGCCCTGTTAGAAGACTGGACCTTGAGGATGCACAGTTAGATGGCTGAACATGCTAGAGGTAAGCAAGGTCAGAATGAGCTCTCCCCTGACAGCTAGTGATAAGCTGCGGACGGGAAAAGGCTTCAGGACCAGACAGTATTTACATGAACACACCAACTCTGCCCGGTATCCAGCAGACAGAGCTATGTTGGCTGGTTCTGCATTACAATTCACTGTAGTACTTGAATGCAGGGGTAGGGAAACTATGGCCTGCGGGCCAGATCCGGCCTGTCAGGGCTTTGGATCCGGCCCCTAGGATTGCCACCCGCGTGGCGCCACTGACCCCGCACCACTCCCGGACTCGGCTGGACCACCTCCCTGCGACCCCTGGGGGTGAGGCGGGGGACAGAGGGCTCTGTGTGCTCCCCTCGCCTGTAAGCACCGCCCCCCACAACTCCTATTGCCCAGGAATGGGGAATCGTGGCCAATGGGAGAGTCAGGGGAGGTACACGCAGGCGAGGGCAGCGCGTGGAGCCCTCTGCCCTCCCCCAGGGTCCGCAGGGACGTGGTGCCGGCCACTTCCGGGAGCAGCGCGACGCGGCACGGAACCAGAGGAAGCAGGGAGCCTACCCTGGCTCTTGTGCGAGCTGCTGACATCCCAGAACCACTCCAGGTAAGCAGCCCCCAGCTGGAGCCCGCACCCTGAATCCCACCTCACTCTGCCTGCACCCCAACACCCTGCCGCACCTAGCATGCCTCCTGCAATACAACCCCCTTTCCCTGAGCCCCCTGCTGCACCCTGCAGCCCTCCTGCACCCCAACCCCTGCCCTCAGCCTCTGCCACACCCCACAGCCCACCTGCACCCAACTCCCTTCCCTGAGCCCCATCCCACACCCCGCACCCCTCCTGCACCCCATCTCCCTACTCTAAGCCACCTCCCGCACTCTGCACCCCCTCCTACACACCAACGCCCTTACCTGAGCCACCCAGATGTGGCCCTCGGGCCAAAGAGTTAATGAATGCTCCATTGGCTGTCTTTTTGATTTAAGTCAGTGGTCTCCAACCTTTCAGAGTAGCGGGCGACAGACGAATAGCGACCGAAATGCCACGGTGGAGCACGGCCGCTGGACAAGCAGCCGCCCAAATGCCGCCGAGAAGTGGCAACGCCAAGGAGCATCACCACTGAAACGTCACCAAGAAGCAGCATCATCAAGAGGCGTCTCCACCGAAATGCCGACGGCGGGGCGCTCCCTTGTCAGTAGGCGGACACACATAGATGCCCCGGCGTGCGCCATGGCATCCGCGGGCACTGCATTGGGGACCACTGGTTTAAGTGATCACTAGAGCTGAAATCACCTTCTGAGAGACAGTGTTTCTGTCCAGCCTGCTTCAGCACTGAGGTTTTCCCCACTAAGAGTTGACTGTCACTGAGAGCTGGGTGGAGGTTCAAGAGAGCGACCTGCAGAGGTCACAGTAGAGTGGCCGGGGTGAGAGTGAGCAGAGTGGTGAGTGGCTTGCAGGGCAGCTGCCACCAGAGCAAGCACCCAGACAGCAGAGCGAACCAGGCACTCTCCTCCCTGCCCTCATGGTGGGAGCTGAATTCACACAGGTGCACCTCTGAACTCTGGGTCTTCACTAACCAAAGGCAACCACTGTGAGTGGGATGCAGTGGAGGGAAAAGGGAGGGGCACCATACACAAACTTTTAGTTGCTGGACTCAAGAACCTGAAGAAAAAGACACTGCCCAACATACTCTTGGGTAGGTGTTTTGCTCATGGTTTTATGTTTACAAAATCCTGTTTGTGGCGTTTTCCCAAGTTAATGTCAGGGGCTTCCCTCCTTTTATTAAACATTTCAGAGTGGGAGCCATGTTAGTCTGTATCAGCAAAAACAATGAGGAGTCCTTGTGGCATCTTAGAGAGTAACAAATTTATTTGAGCATAAGCTTTCATGGGCTAATACCCACTTCATCAGATGCATGGAGTGAAAAATACAGTAGGCAGTATATATACTACAGCAAATGAAAAAATAGGAGTTGCCTGACCAAGTGGTGGGTCAGTGCTAACGAGGCCAATTCAATCAAGGTGGGAGTGGCCAATTTCCAACAGTTGAGAAGAAGGTGTGAGTATCAACAGAGAGTAAATTACTTTTTGTAGTGACCCAGCCACTCCCAGTTTTTATTCAGGCCTAATTTGTTGGTGTCCAGTTTGAAAATTAATTCCAGTTCTGTAGTTTCTCGTTGAAGTGTTGTTGAAGTTTTTTTGTTGAAGAATGGCCACTTTTAAGTCTGTTATTGAGTGTCCAGGGAGATTGAAGTGCTCTCCTACTGGTCTTTGAATGTTACAATTCTTGATGTATAATTTGTGTCCATTTATTTTTTTGCGTAGAGACTGTACAGTTTGGCCAATGTACATGGCAGAGGGACATTGCTGGGAATGGGCGACGTCCATCCTGATTGAATTGGTCTCGTTAGCACTACAAAAACTAATTCTCCCTCTGTTGATATTCGCCACTTCTTGTCAACTGTTGGTAACTGGCCACTTCCACCTTGATTGAATTGGCCTCGGTACCACGAACCCCTGTGTTAGCCCACAAAAGCTTATGCCCAAATAAATTTCTTAGTCTCTACGGTGCACAAGGACTCCTCGTTGTTTTTCTCATTATTAAAAAGTTTCTTTTCTTCACTGAGACTCTGTGGTTGCAAGAGGGGAACCTTTCCCTCATAGCAGCACCCTGAGGGTGGTGTATAATTGTCCGAGGTTACTGGGTGGGTGCTCAAGCTGGATCTGTGTTATATTGCTGGAAAGGAACCCCTAGATATTGAATCTGGCCCTGGTCCCTTCTGACGCCACTGGCAGAAGGGTTACATAGATATCGACTTGTGACATACACAACAGAAGAAGATTCCCCCACTGACCTGCAGCCACTTCTGTGCTAGGACAGGGCAGCTGAGAAACAGGACAGGGAAATATGTAGGCTGTGTAGGACAGGAAGTGAGGAAGAATTGCATCTCCTGTGTCCAGCTCTAGGGAAAGTTACAAGTTCAGGACTAATTCTGTGAAATGAAAATCCGCCAGAACACAGTGCTTAGGAAAGGGAGTCTTGAGAAATTGGCCCTGGATTTTTCATTTGAGTGAGCAGCTGCAGGCTCCATTGACACCAAATGAAACCAATGGAAGCTGCAGTAACCCAGGTCCCCATTGTGCGGCAGAGGAGTCTGGCCCCGAGATAAGTGGACGCCAACTGGCAGAGGGCACAGGCATGCCAAGAGTTATATGGGGATCCCCTGGGTGAGATATATGCACAATAGCTCACCAAAGGTGGTATGTGAGGTCTCTAACAAGAGCCAGCAGCCCACTCATTGCCCTAATGGGAGCAAGATATTTGTATGGGACATAGCTGAAGAGAGATATAAAATGTAGAATATGATGCTCCAGAATTGTTATAAATAAATAGAGATATCCTATCTTTTAGAACTGGAAGGGACTTTGAAATAAAGATCATTGAGTCCAGTCCCCTGCCTTCATTAGCAGTACCAAGTACTAATTTTGGCTCCTGATTCCTAAGTGGCCCCCTCAAAGATTGAACTCACAACCCTGGGTTTAGTAGCTCAATGCTCAAACCACTCAGCTATCCCGCCCCTCCAAGTGAAGTATGTCACCTGCGCCATGGCAATCCCTTTGGCTGAGTCAATCAGCACATAGAACACAGCACAGCCGTGGAGACAGGCTATATTCACTGTCTGGGCCCAGGAGGGGGCTCAGAATTTACAAAGACCAAGGACCCTCAGCACAAGTCTTCAAAGAGAGACCACTTCTGGGAAGAGACAATGGTCTGTACCTACAAAGAAAGAGGAGAGGGGACAAGAGCGCGCTTTCACCCAGAAGGCAGCTGATAGTGTTTGTCTCAGGAACAGGAGATCACAGCCAAGCCTGGAGTAAAACCCTGGAAGCACCTTGGGGTGAGTGTTACTCTACCAGACAGAAAAGTATCTTGTTCAATGATTCTAGGCTCTAGTTAACGTGGTATGATTTTACTGGCCATGGAACCATTTCTTTCCAACCCTTCTCCTTGCTACCCCTCAAATCTCTACACTCTGTGAAATCACTTGTCGTTGATGTGACTATAACGGGATCTAGA